GGACCCATTTAAATGAATTTGACACATGGTAATATGATTTGGCACACGGTAATATGAAATATCAAAATGTTTGTCCATATCATCACTTTGCTCTCCACATCATCAAAAAAAAATATAAAAAATGCCACATAAGCGAAATTAACGGCTCAAATTAACAGAAGGACTAACGAATTGCATTTTTTGTAGTTGAGGGATCAAAAAAGTGCAAAAAATTGTTGAGGGATCAAAAATGTTCATTTCTTAAAGTTGAAGGACCAAATTTAACATTTAACCTTAAATAAATTTTGTTAAAAAATAATTAATTGATCAGAGTTCTAATTTCTTAATATATACTGTCCCTAGCACATCTAGCTTTCTGCCTTGCCTTACGTACGACATTATCTGATTATAAGAGAAGGCATGCGCAGTAGTAGCAGTACTATATTTATCTTTAAATAAAATTTTGTTTAAAAATAATTAATTCATCAGGAGGCCAGCTAAAGCGTAGTACCTCAGCTCTCAGTCCCTAAACTTTGTTCTGGTATGCTAGTTGCTGCTTAGTTATATAGGGTGAATGAAACTCTGGAAGCACCAATCACTGGTTCTCCCATTTCAGGGAGCATCTCTTTGCTCTCAAGAAGGATAAATCATAACTGTATGCAATGTAATAGGTAAGAAATTTTGCCGAAATGTTCATGCTCATAATTTTTTGGGTTAGTGCTAGTGCTCATAACTAAAAATACACTCATAGATGATATTTTAAAAAATGAACTAGGAAAAAATAGAGCTAATATGATACATTGGCAACTAGGGAGTTCTTGTGTGTGAATCTCTGACAATGATAAGTGTGTAGCCTGCATCCACGTCATTAGAAAGAGTCCCAAGTGGATAGAAGAAAAACCATCTCTGACAATGAAAGCTTAAATCAACAATTTTGCAGTTCACACTTCAGAGGTGAGCAAGAAGATCAACTTCTGGCTAATAATCTCAACTCTTCCCAGTGTAATATCAAAAAAAAACACTTGACGCTGAATGCAGGAAAAGAATAGACTTGCTATGTATATCAACTGTGTTGAGATTAATTTGGTTAGTCAGATCAGACGGCAGCACATATGGAACCTGAAATATCAGGAGGAAAAGGTTGTTAATTAATAAAATCATTCAGTTTAACATCCTTCCCTATAGTGATTCGCAAGTCAATGCTGCAAGTTGGTCTCTCTCCAGCAAAAATGATAATAATAATAACCAAAAAGAAAAAAAATCTACCCCATGGTTATACATGATACAAGAGTCACAACATGGCCAAGGAGTAATGTGAAAGGCAGTAAAAATATTAAGTTTTCTATGCCCATGTAAAGTTATGTCCTCTTCAATTCTGGTCAGTTAATGCAATAGAATGATTAACATAAATATGCTTTAGCAGTAGAGAGGTGGGTGGTTTTTGAATGTATGCATGTTGCCTGTGGCTGGGGGTATAGGGGGAGGGATGAGGGACAAACCTGTTGACCAAGAGGAGCAGCAAAACTTCTCCTCATTAATATGCTTCACATCAAGCCCAATAAACCATGATCCAGCACTGACATCATCATGAGCATATGTACGGAGAATAGATCTGCAAAGCAGGATCATGGAGGTCAAAATAGTGCAATCCAAAAGCAGCAGAGAGAAGTGGATGCTTAAAACTCACCTATTAATAGAGATAAACTGCGCCAACGCATGTGAGATGGCATATATTTCCCCTGAAGCATGTCGAAAGTATCTACAACATATAACATAAGAATATGTCAAGAGGAAAAATTCACTGAACTCAAAGAATCAACTTGCAAAACTTACAAAACATGACATTTGCATCAAAGAACCTTCAAAATGTAACAACATTTGAGATTATTATTTACTAAAATGAAGACAGAAAGAAACACTGATTTGCACAAGCAACCTAAATAAGTACACATAATTATCATAGTTTAATATTTACAAGCCACATGACATAGAACTAGAAAATTTTAATAAAATACAAGGCAAAATCAAGTGTTGTGCAATACTCACGATTTACCATCACCAAATTTCCACCAGTCTGGTTCATACCATTTGTGGGTCCTATGAATGTTGAAAACGTGAGTGAGATAGATGCTTACCAAAATGGAATAAAATTTGAATAAAGCATACAGTAAAATAATCTCCTAGGAAATAACGCTCATTAAAAAAGCAAGTAATAAAAAGAGTTAACTCACAGTTGAGAAAATACTTCTCCTGATTTCATACACCCAATATAAACCCGAGGCTTATCCAAATAAGAAGAAAGTGATGCTCCCAGAGCATCTGCAAAGCAAAGGAGGGACAGAACATATCAGTAGATACCATAAGTTTGTCATTTCATTCTGCAGAACTCAGGCCTTCTGAATTATTTTTTTGATCTGAACCTTCTGAATTATTTAAGAGAGGAAGACAAGCATCCATTTCATTTTCAATACTGTAATTCCATGCAACCATCACTGCCAAAAATTTCTTTTGCAAAATTTATTTGGAATTGCAAGCATAACATAAATGTTTCCCAAATCACTATAATTGGTAATGCTTCAACTGGCTAATCCCATTTGAAAGTATAAACTTAGACTTAGTTCAAATGAGAAAGAGGGTTAAGAAAAGGGGAAACTAGAATTCCATCTTAACCTCTAATGTGAATATTTTTACAGAAATATCTACAAGAACTAACAAAGATTACATACCGATATTAACATAAACATCATCGTTGACCTTAGTATAAAACTCAGCTTCCCATCTCTCCACAGCATGAATAAAATACAATTTAGTCTTTTTTGATTGCTCCTCAGGGGCCTCCACATGGTCCTGTTGAGGCACAAAAGAAAATAATTACATGCTAATATTTGATCCTCAACCTGTTAACTGAGCTATTTGGTCTGCAAAAACTTATGAATGCTGAAAGTCCAAAAGAATTTATTTATTTTTAAATAAAGAATTGGACCATGTTCAGAGAGCAACCTACTTAAGAACCTATATCTCAATTTTTTATTAAAATTCCAGCAAGATTAGAATTTAAAATCTTAAACCACAGTGGATATGCTTGAAATATTTTTTAAGAAGTAGCTTAACATACGAGGATAATGAAGTCATTGCTCTGGCTATTTTCACTATCAATCTCCCTGTCCAAACTGTCTCCACGATTTGCACTGCAAGATTCATAAACTTAACTAAACTGAAAGGGTGAAAAATTCTTATTTCTGCTAGGGTGAAGATAGAGACCTCCTCCCTATTACAAACCGTAGAACAATTCCCTTCTCATCCTCCAGTTTTCCTAAAGCTGCCCCTGCATGTAATGCATTTTCAGGTTATCTACCATACGAGGAGGTGGATATGATAGTAGAGACAGCAAAATGATACTTCAACCTATGAAGAACTTTTAAGGGGTTAGGAATATAACATAACACGAAATGTCCAACAAAAAATATCAGAAAAGGAAACATTTTAAGTCAGATATGTATGTAACAACATGGGGACACTGGAATCTATGGCATTGAAACATCATAATATCTTAAATCAACCTAAGTGAAATTGGAGTCTATGGCATTGACACATCATAACATCCGAAATAAATCTAAGTGGATGCATACAATTCCGAATACTGATGGAAGCCTTACCTGTTGGCATCCAAGCTTTCCGAATTGCGTCTCTATTCTTCTTGCGCCCAAATGTAGTAATAATTCCTATTACAACTAAACGCTTTTTCTTAGAGTGGGTAACATCCTTCTCTGACAAGCGCTTGGAAACAAAACCTTCCTGTCTAGCTGCTGCAAGCTCCATCTCAAGAGCTGATAATTTCTTCCGTTGTTCCCTGAAAAATAAAAATTACAATTAAAAATAGACCCAATTTATGAGTTATTTAATTTTCCCAATATGCAGAAATGTGAAAATATTTACCTGCAGGCTATAATTTTTAGTGTATCATCAACAGATACAGCAGATTGACCCTGAAAATGAAAACCATGGCTTCGTTACTCTTTCCCTCTAGGTACAAACTTAACAAACATTCTACATCATGTTATATCACTTCAGAAATACAAATAGATTCATACACGCCTAGGTGGTATGCATATAATTAGAGCGATAAGTAGAAAACAGCATCAGCAAGGAGTAAGAATTCAAACTTCAGTTAATGTAAACAGAACTGTGAATCATTATAAAATTAAAACGAAAAATACCCGTCCAGTTCTCCTATCAAGCTCCTGAATTAAATATACCCTACTCGCTGCATCCTGCCACAATCTGCACTAAGAAAAACTTCCAAGTCGTAACATAGAGAAGCAGAGAGACACCTCAAAAGGAAAAAGGGTGCATAAAGACGCTGACTTTACCTGCCGGCAACATAAATCGACGCCATTGTAGCGAACATGGCGAGAATCAGGGCGGAAAGTCGAGAATGAAACGCCGAGCTCGACAGCCGGTTGCTTGAAGCTCGGCTGTGCATTTCCTCGGAGCGATTCGATTATAGAAAGTAATGGACTAAGCACGATCGAAAGAGCCGTCGACGATTTTGATGGATTATCATCTACCCTTCGACTTCACCGGAATTTCTCTGTCGAATTTTTTAGAAGTAGATCTGAAGAGATGATGAATTTGAATCTGAGAATTTGGGACTTTTTTTATCATGGAATTTCTGGTGCGTTCTTCTATTGGTTCTGTTAAGTTAATGACACGTCGTACCGACCACTGGTCTTATTTTAATTTTTAAAAATAAAAACAATCGAAAATTATTCGATTGGTTCATAAAAAAAAAAAATTCGATTGTTTCATAAAAAAAAAAAAAAGTATTCGATTGTTTCATTTCATGCTTTTTTAAAAAAAAAATTGTTTGGTGTAATAATTCAAAATTAATAATTAATAATAATTATTAATTTAAATATTTTTATTTTTTAATTTTAATTATACTAACGTGTTAATTACGAACAAGTATAAATCAATGTAAAAGAAGTGATAACTTCTAAAAGGGTTGCCAACAAGTCGTAACTTCTAAAATGGTTGCCAACAAGTTTATGAAAAACATTTTAATTGTTTAAATTAATAAATAAAGATCTATATTTTTTTTACAATAAGAAGTAAATTTTTTTATTTTTTTAATTTATCTCACTTACATATTATATAATTTAAATTTAAATAGTTTTACTTCTTTTAAAAAGTGGTTATTATTGGTTTTTTAGTATCTCGTTAATTCTTATCCCACGACTTATAAGCTATTTTATAAGTTATCAGCTAATAAACTAAAATTGTCCTAACAATGAAACAAAACATAGCCCTAGTTATTATTATTATTGTTGACCAAATGATGGCAACATAAGAAAGGAGTGAATTGAGTTTTGAAAAACTTTATACAATATTTAAGCACAAACAAGGAACACTCACAAGCAATTATAGACAATAATTTAAAGCGTAAAAATCAAAAGTTTAGGGAAGAAAAAGTTCAACTATCAGGATTTATAGTGATTTGATCACCATTTGTAATTAATCCACTACTCAAGCCACCTACTTGAGAATTTGGTTTTGATTCAAAAGCTCTCCTTCAACTTCTAGGTGTAGAAGCAATTGTTTGCAATAACTTTGTTAGTATTATCCACCTTTAACAAGTCAACCCTTTGTTACCATCTCCCACAAATCCAATCATACACCACAAAAATGGTTTTCTCTAGATCTAATAAAGTTACTCAATCACTCTCCCAATAGCTAATAAGCTTACAAGTGCTATTAAATTGTTCAATTCCCTTATTACAAATTTCTCAAGTCTTTCTATATATATCTCAACGATAGATTTATAAATCTAATAAGGTTTCTTTAATCCTTTTCTCATTTGTTACAATGAAAGAAAATAAAATTAAAGACGTAGGTAGTTGGATTCCCAAAGAAAAAGGAAAAAACACTTTTGATCTCTCTTGGTTTTTTCCATTGAAGCACTAGTTCTTCTTATTTTCACATTGAGGTGCTCTGGGTCTTCTCATTGCTTGCTTCTAGATCTCTTTTCGGCCCGAAGGTTGCTTAATTGATGGTTTATGACTGTTGGGGCTCAATTGGAAAATAATATATTCCAAGTTTAACAAGTTATTCAAGATCTTAATATGAGGGGTTAGAATCTTATTCTAGAGGTTGGACCCTTTGTTATTTTCTTCATAATACAAACAGATTCGTGGTTTTACACCTTGAAATTGAGGGTTGGAACCTAAACATGACAAGCAATTTCAAAGATGAGTCAAAAGCATTAAGGGAAAGGACCCTAATCTTAGGGTTGGAACTTCAAGCAAATAATGCAATTTCTATCTTTGTTTATCACCATATAAAGAAACACGTTGAATAAAAAATACACAATCAATTAATCTTCCATACAAAAAGAAATATATTTAAAAGAAACACATTGAAGTGATTAAGTATATATTCACATTCACATTTGATTTTAAATTTATGAAAATTAAAAATAACAGTTATTATGTTTTTTCTAATGGGTTGTAAAGCTATTGTTCAGGACATAATTATCTCTAGAGAAAATAAAGTTGAGGCAAATGATATGGAAAGAGTTTGTGACTTTTTCCGATGTTTCAAAATATATATTTTTTAATTTTAAATTTATTTTAAATCAATTATTATTTTTTTATTTTAAAAATATATAAATATTTTTTTATTTTAACTCTATTGTTATTTATTTATTTTAATTAATTATTTTATTAAAACAGCCAAGTTTACTCTCGAAGGCCACTTGTGACACAATTGATCATTTGAAGAGAGATTTTTTATGGGGCTCAAATTCTTGTGCTCATAAACCGCATTTAGTTAGTTGGGAAGTTGTTCATTCAAAGAAGAAATATGGTGGACTTGGTTTGAGATCTGCATGGGAAAATAATCAAGCTTTTGTTGCAAAGCTTGGCTAGTGTTTAGTCAAGGGTGATAAGGCATTGTGGTGTAGGGCTATTCAGACTAAGTATCTCCAGGGCCTTCATCTTTTGAATGCTAAGGCTAAAACGAGATGTTCTTTCATTTGGCGTGGGATCCTACAATGTTGTTTGATTTTGCGATAGGAAATTTGTTAGAGGATTGGATTGGAGAGGGGGTGAACTTTTGGCATGATAACTGGGTTGGTAATGCCCCTCTTATAAATGCTATCAAAGCAAAACCTATTGATTCCTCTTTGTTGGTGGCAAATGCTATCAAATCTAATGGTGAATGGGATTTGGATTTTTTGCATACCTTGGTTTCAGTGGAAAATATTGATGTTATTAGGGCAATACCTTTATCTAGGAATTTACAATTGCTAGATAGCATTTTTGGGACAAGATCAATGGAAGGATCTTTTACTGTCAAGATTGCATATTAGCTTATACAAGAGTAAAAAATTTAGGTAATTCCTTGGTGGACTCATGGCATTGGATCTGGAAGCTATATTGTGTAGAGCACATTCGAATGTTTGTTTGGCTTTTGGTGAGAAAAAGGGTGCTTACAAACTTTGTGTGTTTTGCCGATCATATGATTGCTTCTCTTACCTATTCTAGGTGTGATGTTTTGGAGGAATCGGTCATTCACTTGTTACGTGACAATTATTATGCTAAGATTGTCTAGGGATTTTTGGAGTTTGTTGAGCCTAAGTTTTTTATGTTGGAGTTGGTTCTGTGCATCAAGAAGTTTTCCATTTCATCATAGTAGAATAAGGATGTTGGAGTGTCATGGGTGATGTTGTTCTTATCTGTTATTTGGATTCTTTGGAAAGATAAAAATACTCTTATTTTTAAATCTCATAAGTAAAGACCACAAGAGTTATGTGCTAAGATGTTTCAATAAGCCCAATACACTATGATTGCAGTGAATCCTATTTCGTCACCTCATTAACGGCAACCACGTTAGGTAAGTTGGATTCCACTTAATGAGGGATGGTATAAACTAAACTCTGATGGGCCTTATAATGTTGTTGGTAATTTTGTTGGAGTAGGAGGCTTGATTAGAGATAGCTTAGGTTGTTGGATCTTTAGTTTCACAGTCAATCTAGGTGATGCTTCGATTTTTATTGCTAAGCTTTGGGGTCTTAGAGAAAGGCTTCGATTATGCAAATCCCTTGGTTTAACTAAAATAGTTGCTAAAATGGATTCATTGATGGCTGTTCACTTTATTCAAGAGAATCCAATACTAGATAATTTGTCTACAACAATTTTAGTAGATATTAATAGTTTAATGTTGTAGTTTGAAGTTTGCCTTTTGGAACATATTCTGTGGGAGGGGAATGCTG